AGAGCCGTTCGTCACCCAGTGGAACTCGAACTCGCGACCTTGCGATTGTGACCCGGGAGCGCTAACCACTGCGCTATCGACCCACGGGTCATAATGAGTGATTCTATTTATATGTTATGCTAAAGGATAACTTGTGTATAATATCTATTTAATATTCTAGTAAAGATTTTTATCAAGATGAATTCTTTTGTCTATAAGATATTCTAAATGTTCGTCTATAAAATGTTCTAAATGTTCGTCTATAAAATGTTCTAAATGTTCGTCTATAAAATGTTCTAAATGTTTGTCTATAAGAAATTCTAAATGACCTATGGGTAATTTATACATGATATCTATTTGATATTTAATAATGATATTAGTTAAGAATGCTATGCAAGATGATTTGTCTATTGTTTGATTTTTTTTTATAGAATTAGGGTCATGAGATGTAATTCCTTTCAAAAGATAAACAAACTCAAGAACGAAATTTTTTTTCTTTTTTTTTGCTTTTTTTTTGTTTTTTTTTTTTAATATTTACAAGATCAATAAAGGAAAAATGAATGTTGTTATTCACAATAACGGCGAATTCGTTGAACTTATAGAATATCGTCGATTACAAAATTTACATTATTTACGAAATTTACATCTTATAAAGAATTTACACATTACGAAATTTACAAAGTAAATGCTCGTAGTCTTCCATGCCGTTCATCGTCGCTACATCGAGTGTTTGTACAAAGGGAAAGGAAACCAAATAACTGACAAGTGTATTTAGCTTGGGGATGAATAGATTGGTGAATGAATAATTTTTTCTCTGATTTAACCCTATTAATAGCATTAAATTGAATTGAAATAGTTGAAGTAGGATAATCATAAATAGCAGTCATCCAACCGCTTAAAATGTTATTTAATTCAGTAGCTTTTGGACGCTGGCTTGGGTCTTGATGCCAGCATCTTTTCATTAACGATATATAAGCATCAGGAGTATTTTTAACTATTTCAGGTCGTAAACCTTCACATATACGTGTCGCAAGATCAAGGTTGTGAGAAATTTGTGAAAAAGGTTTCATACACGTTGACAAAGTCCACATAATGATTCCAAAACTATATATATCCGAGGCCTGAGTATATTCATCACCCTTTAACACTTCAGGAGCGACATAAGGTAAAACACCATGTACGGCAGAAGAATTTCTGTGTAATCCTATATCGGAAATTCTTACATGAATCCCTTCAATTGTGTGTTCGATCATTAAGTTTCCACCATGGAGATTGCCATGATAAAGTTTGTGATCGTGGATTTGTTTAAGACCGTTAGCAATTTTATGAAGCATGTTAACTATATCCTTCCAGTGAAGGTATTTAGTACCATTTTTGAGATGACTGTACAAGTTTTCTCGATAATACTTCATCACTATCAAATAGCAACCAGTCGAATCCCGTGTAATTCCTAAGCAATCGACTGTTAAACGGCCTTGAAGGGATCGATAATGTCTCAAAATCTTAAAAAATAAAAAAAAGAAACATTTAAGAATTTTTTTTTTAAAAAAAAAAAATTAAAAGAATTTAATAAATAACTTACATCTATTAAATATTCTTTATTCATTTTATCAGAATATTCAATTTTTTTTAAGGCACATTTAGTTGGACCACTTCTAATCCAGTTAGCACCTTCTTCATCCCAAACATGTCTGGGACCTTCAATCCAAATACCGGAATATATAGTGCTAAAAGTACTTCTGGATAGTAATTTAACATCAACAAACTCTTTAAATGGGATCCATTCGAGATATCCCATATTCTCGTTTGCATTTAGTTGAGTTTGTTGTATAATTAAGTCAATGTCCGTATTTCCACTGGTCCATTTACTAAACCCTTGTTCGAACAAAGTTTTTTCACAATTAGAGCACCATAGACGACTACGTCGTTTCCCACAGTCGTCACATTTAATATCTGTAGAAACCATTTTGAAAAAACTCTCGAATAAATTTTGAGACCTATAGAGCAACATCAGAAGTCAGGGAAAATAAAATAATTCGAGTATTTTTATAGTATTTAAATAATTGACTGATATGGTCTTGTGATCAATTCAATTTTAAGATCCGCATTATATGTAGTTAGTAATATCAATATATAATAACTTTATTAGCGGAAAGTTTTTCTCTTGACTTTAAGGCAGTGATCGGGTTTATACAAAATAATCAATATCTGACAGTTAAAATAACGACATAAAAAATATCCTTCAAGGACTTTTGGTAACTCGTTCAGTGATCAAAAATGAAATTCAGCTTGGCATGAACTTTCAATTACTTCCATAGTATTTTTCTTTTCAATAAATGAATGTGAATTTCTTAACTATAATGAATCAGGTTGACCGATTGTTTACACATGCGCATTTACTATCAAGCCCCCAAAACTAAACTGACAACTTCTAAAAATAATTTAAGTTATACTAATCATATTATGTGATTTTATGCACGTTGTATTTGAATAATAGATCCGTACAAATTGTCAACGGACAGGACAAAGAGCTTGGAAATAGACAAAGAACTTGAAAATAAATAAAAACATTGAAATTTCAAAAAAAACAAAGAATTAACTTCGGGATTATTGTCTATTGTTTTTTTTTTCGAAACCATCTTCATTGTATCGTATAATAATCAACGGCGTTACAAGGATTACCAAAAATCAATAGATAATTTAGTATTTCATACTATCGGACATAATATTAGGTAGATTATTTATATTTTCACATTATTTATGAAGATTTTAACCTAAAAGACCTCGGATTTCTTAATTCGGTTAATCATTTAAACTATATCTTGTCAATTTAATTTGTCCAATTAATTTTTCTTTTTCGTTTAAAAAGTAAATGCTTTTTGAATGGTCGATCTTTGATATTTGCATTAGTAGCTTGATTAGGACATTTAATTGAAAATTAGGGTTTGGAACCGGTTTTATTTTGCATATGTTAAAACCGATTAAAGCCGGTTTTAATATCCGGCCCCAAATTTAATGTAAATCTTCGACTTATTTGAGATTAATACCATTTTAAAAACTATACCAAGAGATGAGATCCGTCTATCCGTTACATATTTAGATTTAACAGATATATCCTAATGCTTGATTTATTTGTTTATAACTTCATAATAATTGTTATTATGAACTAAAATTAGTATAAATTGGCGTATATCGGTATATCCGGATCTTTAACCATCTATATTACAACGCTGTGCCTTTTAAACAGGTTTATTGGATAAATTTATTTGAAATTAGTCATGTGATATAAATATCATAACCGAATTTACGAGAATTACAAATTTTCTAATTGGTTTTTTCTTTTTATATACCCAAGATAGCAATTATCTGGGGATTCATGTGGCGCAATTGATTTCTAGAATTTTCAACGCTTGTACTAACCAGAATTTTCTGATTCTTCGATTTTCCACATAGATATATGAGGTTTCACACGTTTTTAAAACAGTTGTAAAGAATTTGAATCGAATAATCAGGAAATTCGAAGAATCAGGAAATTCTGGTTAGTAAAATTAAAGATATGATTAGAGTCTTTGAAAACTCTAGAAATATGAAATCTTCGTGATATGATTTATTTGCACCTGTTCACACCTTTTTTGAAAACAGTTAAAATACAGATGTTACTAATAGAAGCATAAGGTCACACCTTTTTACAAAGCGCTATAATTGATTTAATTATTAGCAGAATCTAGAATCGAATCTTAATTTTC